TATTAAAATTCAATTCCTTAACTTACATCATTCTCCTTATATGTTTCCCTTGGATTCTTCTTCTCATGAGAATGCTCTTCTTTAGATGCATGCCATTTTGAAAAAGCCTGGAAAAGATAACCTAAATTATTTCACTGCATCTGCATTTGGGAAGTAAAAGGTGTGGGTCGCTAACTTTTTGTCTAATTAGATTCCTCTTCATTTGAACAGTGCAAATTTTCAACTTTGGTGGCATAAATAAAAACCATGGTTGGGAAGCAAACATGACAAACCCTTTTTGAGACCTTTTCAGAGAGCTGATTTGGTTACAAAACCTTTATGCATGGTATATTTTTAGTTTGTTTTAGGATGCGGACGCCTTAGAAATTGAAACCTGGACCCAGAAAAGACTTCAAAAAGGTTTCAAGAAACAGTTAAGAATTAGTTTCTTTTAATGCATGCCTTATTTTATCAAAAGAAAAAGTTAATCATTTCAAAGAAAAAGTAGATTAGTTAAAAGGGTAGTCCCATGCATGGGAAGTTTTCTCTAGAAATGTGTATATATATATTAGAGAGCTTCTATTGAGGGACATTTTTAAAGTTGTAGGGCTCATTCCGCATTATATTTCACTAATTCAAATAGTCTATTTTGTAGATATTCATTCAAAGATCATCCCTACAAAAAATCACTTTAATCCGACATCATTTGACCACTCAATTATATTTTTGAAATTTAAGTACTTTCTTGAAGTACTGTGTTCATTGATTTTGTTGGTCTCAATTAAATGCTTTAATGATTTTCAATTTGCATGATTTTTTTCAAGGATGATCTCTAAATGAAGATGTGAAAAATAGATGGTTTGGATCGTTGAAAAAAAATTAATATGAGACCCTAAAGGGTGTCCCTCAATAGAAGGGGATATATATTGTTTTATTTCTTCATAGCTTGATGACTTGTTGTATATGTGTCTGTCAATTCCATTATGTTATATGTTAGTCATACAATAAAATATTATGTTAATCAATAATTTAGAGCTCGTAAACATGATGATATAGGGACTAATTCAATCATTTATATATAAAGTTTAGGGTTTTGTACTTGATAAAGGAGTAGGGTGTAACTTTGTGCCAAAAACAAATGTCGAATATAAAATCTCAAAAGGGGTTAATTTCCTTAAAAAAAAAAAGGGGATATATATAGAAGGGGTAAATTAGGTTGTGTAGATTCGGAGGAAGCTGTGAGTCGTCATTTTTCTTTGTGGGTGGTTTTAAAGGTTGAGTGGTCAATTTAAGGTGGGGTTGGTGTCGTTACAAGGCACAGAGCAGTGACCAGTCCTTGAAGAAGGAACAAAAGAGATTTGTGTATCACGAGTCCATAGCATCCAAACACAAAGGGCAGATTATAAGAGATACATAAGCCCCTGGACCCCTTTCCAAACGGTCGAGCCATTCACATGCATCATCAAATAAAATTGAATATCCAAAACTGGTCCTGGTCCTGGTCCTGGATAAGATCTCATCACCAATTTGTTTGCGCAATTGCAATATTGCAATCCAGAGAGAGAGAGAGAGAGAGAGAATGTTGGAATTGAAGTATAATTAAAAGAGCATATCGAGTGGGCAGAGTAAGCTGACGAAAATGGAATCACTTTGTATAAAAAGAAGTGTCTGAATATGAAAGATAATTCCTTCATGCGTATAAGATTGGGGGAAGAAAGAATATGAAATATGGAAGGAGACACAAGTAGTGATAAAATGACGGGTGGAGTTGAGAGCTAGCTAAGCTTTATATATGATTTCTTTTCATGCATGGCCTTTAATCATTTCAGTCTTAATTAGTGTAATGACAGCTGACAAGTTGATGCCATATTATAATTAGTGAGCACATGACAAAAACAAGGGCTGCGTCTCTGGATCTATTAGCCAACTCATCCCTATTATTTGTAAACTCACTCACACTTGCAATTTAAGGTCTAGTTTAAGACTAGCTGAGCTTCGATTGAATTATTATTTTGGATGGGACAAGACTCGGATCAAACTGAATTTGAATGACGTATGATAGAATATTTTATCTGTTATTTGGTATAATATATAATTAAGATCCAACTATTTGTTATTTCAAACTGTGATTTATCATTTATAAATAAAGAGAAACGACTCGTTTGAAAGAGTATTCTTACCTAAATGAGTTATATATCCGTTAGATCACTTCACGTACCTAACAACTCAAGCAGTATTGGAATACTTGTATAATTAAAAGGGGTTCTATTGGATATTTGCTCCACGCACACCTAACAATTTTGGTCGTATATATACTGTATAAGTTTGAAATTGGATAAATATGATCATGCGCGTAATTATAATATTATATCCACCAGAGTATGGACAAAAAGAAAATCATATAAAAAAAGGTGTTCAAGGATATACAATTTGTTAGTTTTTTGACATGTATAAGTTTCATTATTCTCTCATGACAAGCCAAAGTTTTACATGCATCGATGCGACAAAGGAATGGTCATTGTCGAGGACAATGAGGTCGACTTTCTGTTTTCATATTGTATAGACATCTTCTCTCTCTCTCTCTCTCTCTCTCTCTCTCTCTAAAACAAAGATGACCAATCAACAAGCTAGATCCATGATCATACACATGTACTATATGAAACTTTTGGACCATCACTTTTTGCCAAATGGATTTTCCCTTAAGAAAGACAAAATTTACATCTTTTGATGCCATATATAATCACTTCATCTACAACAACATTGTTGAAAATGAAGATGGTAAATTTAAGAAAAGGGGATACATGTACAAAGTGGCAAATTTAAGAAAAGTTCAAATAATTTTTTCCTAATTTAATTGTATTTATTTTTCCTTTTTAGAGGAGTTTTTGTTTTTGTATCTATTATTTATTTATTTTTACATTTTCCCTACCTATCAAGATTAACCCAATTTATAGTTTTTCAAAGTAGGTTCAAATAACATTATTTGAGGATCACTTGGGGACTAGAAATGTCATATTCTTACTTGCAAAATATCACCCAAACTAAAAATTAAATTTCAAAACCAGAGCTGCACAGTTTCGTAGTTGTTTAAGAAGTTATCAGGGTGTGTAAGAATGGAATTTTTTTTTAAAGTCTAGACTGTGTTACCAATTGATTCATGTTATCAGTTCTTAAAAAAAATTGAGTCATGTTATAACATGTCAATGAACGTAGTTATTTAAACTATATCCTATGTTTATGAAATGTCAATCATGTCATCCATGTATATTATAACATTTGAAATGGTAACATCATGTGGCAGTGTGACCTGCACATCTAAGAATTTTTTACGAAAGATAGTATCTTAAAAATTATTTCTAACTTATAAGCGTATGTGGTTAAACGATTCTATTTGTACCATATTTACTGTATATCTCTTTATTAGACATCCCAAATACGGTAGATGAGGTTCACTAATCCAATGTAGCAATGTAATTAGTAATATGGTACAAATAATATTACTGTAAGAGGTGAGTACTTGTGTTTGATTTTTTATTTCCTCCATATTATTTGTATATTGAATCTTTTACCAAAAGGCATTGCGCCAAAATAGTACTGCTCATGAAAGGAATGATTCATAGTAACAATAGAAGAAAGAAAACTAAAACTGTCCCCCACCTCCCCAAAAAAAATGATTTGTTCATGATGTGCGTTATATGATGATGATATACGGCGGCCCGTGATACACACACACACATATATATATATATATATATATATGAAAGATACTTTTTAGAGTTCCTTATGAATTTTTTTTTAACAATCCAAATTATCTATTTTTAAGTCTACTTTCATAGGTCATCCTTGCAAAAAATTAGAGAAATAAAAAACTATTTTGATATCCAATTGTGTCGTACAAAATCAATAAACACAGTTGTTGAAAAAAGTACCAAAATTTCAATAATTCAATTGAGTGGTCAAATGATATCGGATTCAAGTGATTTTTTTGTAGATATGATATTTGAATAAATATCTACAAAATAAATAGTTTGGATTATGAAAATACAATACAAAGTGGGCTCTATAAGGGTCTCCCTCAATATGAATATGTTGATGAGTTATGTGATGATAAAGTACTCTACTCTAATACTCAACCTAAAAAAAAGATTTACTGCCATCCGATCCACCCTTCCCTCCCCTCCCAGTCCATGACAAAATCTCAACTTCCACATACAGACAACCCCCTGGCCGGCTAACTTCACATGCCACCAAAACGCAACTCATACACATAAAGCACACCCACAGCAGCCCCTCCTGGTCCTTCATGCTCCTGCTCCTCCTTTATCTCATCATCATATCATATATCAGATTCATTCACCCTTCTCTCTCCTCTCTCTCTCTCTCTCTCTCTCCTCTCTCTCTCTCTCTAATTACCTGATCAAGAAAAAGCAGCAAAAGGGAGATATGAAAAGGGATTACACCCTTTTGTAGCTTAAAAAGGTTTGTTCAATCTTCTGTTGCCTTATTGCACCATCCACCTAGCCCACCTAGCCCACCTAGCATTCTAGCTTTTGCTGATACATATCTATCCATCTCCTCTGCAATATTGTCACTTTACACCAGTGGTTCTGAATTTCCATCAGAAGAAAAAAGCCTGAAATCAGTTAGGATCAGTCTCTTTTGCCCATTTGACTTCCAATTTATACTCTCTTTCTCTCTCTATCTTTTCTCCTTTTGGGGATGAGAGTTTCAATCCTCCTGATCAGTCCCTTTTCATCCGCCATGTCAGCCAATATTTTTTCACTCCTCACACAAAAAAAGCTGAACCCTCAATTTTGTTTCCATTCGTAAGTTTTGCGGATCAATTCTCCCAACCCTCCTGCTATCACCAATTTTAAGTTTCCCAATGCCAAAAACCCTACCCACTATCAGTCTGGTCTCTTTCCTTCTGAACACCTCCTCACAGTAACTCCATCTTCTTCTTCTTCTTCTTATTTTTCTTTTATTTACTTTCTTTTTTCTGAATTAAGTACCTCCCTTTCTCAATGATGCAATTTACTGAGGCACCACCCCCAGCCTTGCACCAAATTATCACCGCACCATTTTCCAATCTCCCCATGATGAACAAGAACCAAACCCACCGCACCCGCCCCTGGCCCGGCTTCCCCACCTCCGCAAAAGCCCTCGGCACCAACTTCGGCGACGCCAATTGCATGGAGCAGCTGCTTGTCCACTGCGCCAACGCCATCGAAACCAACGACGCCACGCTCGCCCAGCAGATCCTCTGGGTCCTCAACAACATCGCCCCACAAGACGGCGACAGCAACCAGCGCCTCACCTGCGCCTTTCTCCGCGCCCTCATCGCCCGCGCAGCCCGTATCGGCAGCTGCAAGCTCCTCGCCGCCATGGCCAACTCCCAGGCCAACTTCACCATCCACACTCACAAGTTCTCCGTCATCGAGCTCGCCTCCTTCATCGACCTTACCCCCTGGCACAGGTTTGGATTCACAGCCGCTAATGCCGCCATTCTTGAAGCTGTTGAAGGGTATTCTGTCATTCACATTGTTGACCTCAGCTTGACCCATTGCATGCAAATCCCAACTCTCGTTGAAGCCATTGCCGGTCGTCAAGAGGGTAGTGTGAGCCCTCCGCTGCTGAAGCTCACCGTGGCGGGTTCCACGGAGGACGTCCCCCCAATGCTGGACCTCTCCTACGAGGAACTGGGTTACAAGCTGGTAAATTTCGCGAGGTCTAGAAATATAATTTTAGAGTTTAGGGTCATCCCGTCCAGTTATACGGACGGGTTTGCCAACCTAATCCAACAGCTCCGCGTACAAAATTTAGTGTATGCGGAGAGCGGTGAGGCGCTTGTGGTAAATTGCCACATGATGCTTCACTACATTCCTGAAGAAACATTGACCCTTCCTTCAATCAACTCAAATCCAAATTTAAGTAGCTGTGGTTCGAGCAGCTCTTATGGTTATGATGTAGCCTCATCCTCTTCTACGAGTACTAGTTCGTCCCTCAGGACAATGTTTCTGAAAGCCCTTCGAGGTTTGGATCCAACTATTGTGGTTTTGGTGGACGAAGACGCAGATTTGACATCAAATAATCTAGTTTGTAGATTGAGGTCGGCCTTCAACTACCTGTGGATACCTTATGACACCGTGGACACGTTTCTGCCGCGAGGGAGCAAGCAGAGGCAGTGGTACGAGGCGGATATGTGTTGGAAGATTGAGAACGTGATAGCGTACGAGGGGTTCCAGAGGGTGGAGAGGGTTGAGCCGAAATGCAGGTGGGTGCAGCGGATGAGAAACGCCAACTTCCGAAGCGTTTCGTTTGGGGAAGATGCGGTTTTGGAAGTGAAGGCCATGCTTGATGAGCATGCAGCTGGCTGGGGGTTGAAGAGAGAGGAAGAAGATGTTGTGCTTACATGGAAAGGTCACAATGTTGTGTTTGCCACTGCTTGGATGCCTGCTTGAAATTGGCAAGTTCGAATTTCTCTCATGGATGAGATGATGAGATAAGCTGACAACTTAATTAATATAGAATTAATCTTCTTTTCCTTCTTCTCTTAGCTAATTTTAGTTATTAATCATCTTCTTCTACTAGTATTTTAATATATAGTAGATGAGAGCTTAAATTTATAATTAATGTGAGGATGAAGGTTGGTTTGTGCCAATAACCTAAAGACTCCCTCCCTTTCTTTCTCTGCAAACTGATAATTTTTTTCTTTTCTTTCTTCAGATGAATATCGGGTGTATTTTTTATTTATATTTTCACAATTATATTCCATCTTTTAATTTCCAACTAAAAAAAGAGAGTATATTTTGCTTTCTCTGCAGTCAGGAAAGGAAAAAGAAAAAGAAAAAAAGAAAAAAGAAAAGTTGAACAGCAGCATCATGCATAGAATGATAATTAATTAGCTTCTGTCTTGTTTAATTGCGTCCAAAACCAGCTGTTGGATGTCTTTTGTATATATGGCCTGCTTCTTAAACTGTCTTACGTTTTATAAAACATTGTGGACCAACTGTAATTTGGCTTCGGTTGTACGGGGAATTTGAACAAGATTCCACAAAATTATGATTGGTTTCACAAAAGGAAAATGAATGTCTCACAAACTTTCAATTTCGCGCACTTCCATAGGAGACTATTTCGATCTAAAACCTAGAAAACACTTCTGTTTATTTTGGCAAATTCCCATGTGTGTCTGTGTATATAATAATTACGTCCTCTCTTTTCAGATAGTCTTATGCTATATTGAAGTTAGGATTCATGCTGTCAAATATAAACCACTTTCGCAAATGTGGATTAAAGTTAAGCCGTGCGTCGGTCCCTCTATATTTCACTTTGATTTTCCTTTTCATGCATTAGAGTAGTTTAGATTATCACTTGTAAAAAATGTTCACATTGAAGTAATGAGGAATACTTATAGCATATTCTTCCGTTTACTTTCCACCCGAAATAATTCTCGGTAAGACTCAATTTTCCATTATACAATCCAAGATTAGCCAATTTATTGTTTTTGTATATTTTCGTTTGGGGCTTCAGATTGTTAAAAATAGATTATAGAGCCAAACTAAAGTTGGTGGGAAACTGATTTGTAAAGCGGAACAAAAACACAGGAGTACCTTAGAATGCTAGGAATTCAGAGGTGGAACTTATGTGGGTTACGTGGCTAACCCAAACTCAACTTTGACTTCTACATTTCGAGTTGGGCTTTGGTTTGGGTTTGTTTGGGTTGAAAACTTAACCCAAACCTATGATGGATTCGAATAAACTCAAGTTACCCAATTTTATTGGATTGGAGTCAACTCGCAAGCTCAACCCTTGCATTTTTATTATCCAAAAAGAAAATAATATTAAATCTTTTAAAAACTGAGGAAATTAAAATTGAAGGAACAAACCAAGTAGTGAATATAAATACTTTGAAGTTCTTGGAAGAAAAATCACAAATTTGCTATCAAATTCAAGCATGACCATCACCCAACTTCGGATTTTTCTTTAAAGAGCTTCAGAGTATAAAATTAAGTATATGATTTTGTTTCCTAGAGGCTAAAAATTGTATACAACCTTCATTTTTATTATCATGCAATAAAGCCAAAACCCCAAATCTGTAATCACGAGTCTTAAAATTATTTTTGAACACCCATTACTCCATTAAATGATCAAAATATACTATTTTAGACCCCTAGATCATATTGATCAAAACTAAAAGAATCCAAAACGGAGTTTTCGAAAAATTTGCTCTAAAGTTTGAATACCATTTAGGGAGTAAAATGAATGAAATAGTGGTTCCGTGACTCACACGTAATTTTTTCTTAACGAAAATGTTTCCTTCCGGTCTTGAGAGTTGGTGGCATTTTGGCACAAAGCTTAGTCCATATGGTAAATTGGCACGATAACAAGTTTAGTTCGTCAAGTGACACTCATAGTAAAAATTCAATAGTATTGTTACAATTTTTCTCAAGTTTATATTATGTAACTTAAATTAATATGACGATGATTGAGTTGAAAGTATGTTTAGATTTATACAACATGTATGAGTTGAAAATAAGATTAAATTATAGATAATTTAGATTGACATGCCAAAATTGAAAAAACAAAAAAAAATTTGAGATTGAGAAATCGTGTTAAAATTGAAGGAAAATTTTGCCCTTCTACAATTTTGCGGAAACAAAAAAATCATTGGTGGGCTAATAACCAGCAATACGCACGTGTGCTTGTGACCTGGGAGTAAACGAGTAAGTATGAACACTCTTACGATGATTGGCAGTTTCCTAAACGCACGTGTCTTTGACTCGCCTCAACCTAAGAAGCTTCTGAACAGCGTATTGCCTACTAGCCCTATGAAGTAGAAGATGCAGTGATCGAAGAATTACAGTTCCGTGCAGTGAAGCTCAGGGAAATCCTGCTTCGTAGTTTCTGAATTCAGGTTGGTTCCATTTTCTGTATTTTTCTTGGGTTTTTTCGTTTCAATGTCTGAATTGCTTTATTGGGTTCGTTTTTCTTGGTCAAATTCTGAACTGGGTCTACGAAAGAAATTGAATTTTTCTTACTTTGAAGTCTTTTGAATCTAAAGGCTTGAGCTTTCTTGAAAGTTTGTTGTTTTTCTTTTGGATTAAGTTGGGTGAGAAAATTCTGTGCTATGCCTGTAATTGGGGTAGTTGAGTGTTTTGTTAGTTGAATGAAGTTGAAATGTTTCCTTTTCAGCTAACTCACTATCTGGGTTTTTGTACCTTTCGTTTCGAATTTCACTATACAACAGCTTGTTCCAGCAGGTCAATTTTATTTACTGAAACTAGCTTATTAAAAAAAGATCAAACGAAATCAATTGGGGTTTGGATTTGAGATGTAGAATTTGGGTTTGTTTGGTTGTTATAATATATAATTCTGTGCAGTTTATACTATAGTTATGTTTGGGTTTATCAATGGGCACTGTTGACAATTTTTTTAAATCTTAAATTTACTGGCGAGTTACGGTGAAGATGAAAACAGAAGAATTTATAAAAGTATAAGGAATAAGTGGTTGGTTTAGATTTCTAATTCAATGAATTTTGGTTTTGATTTGAAACCAGAATGCCAGCAAGCAGGCAATTTTCTCGGATAGACACTTTAGAACTGAAAGCTCAGATTGAGAAGAAGGTTGGGAGCCAAAAAGCGGGAAAGTACTTTAATCTTGTTACAAGATATTTGAGTCTCAAGATTAGCAAACCCGACTTTGATAGACTCTGCATTGCAACAATTGGGAAAGAAAATGTCTGTCTTCATAATCATTTCATCCGTTCAATACTCAAAAATGCATGCCTTTCAAGGACTCCCCCACCAAGAAAGAGCAACATTGCAAGTTCTCTGAGTGTTAAAGTGCCAAATGGATGTCAAAGAAGTAGTCTTCAACTGTTATGCAGAGATTTTCCCCAATCGCCTCGAAAAGGGAGAACTCCAAATCTTCGCGATCGCAGGTTAAGAGATGGTTTGGCCCCTTTTAGGCCTCAGGGTAAGAACCATAGTAGTGCATGTGAGGGTCCTATCTCCAAAATTCAAGAACGAGAAAAGGCAACTGAGCTGCTTTCTTTAGGAAGCAGACCACCTGTCTCTGTCGAAGATGGGGAAGAGGTTGATCAGGCTGCTGAAAGCCCAAGCATTCACAGCATGAGCCCTCTCACAGCTCCTCTTGGCATCTCAATAAATTCTGGAAGGACGAAAAAGCTGTTAATTAAAGGATCAGGACCTGCTATTTACAATGACACTTGTCAGAGCAGTGGTGAGCTACCTGATACTAGTTCTTTAAGGAAGAGGTTGGAGCAAAAGTTGGTGATGGAGGGAATGGGAATCTCAGAGGATTGTGCCAACTTGTTGAATAATGGCCTTGAGATTTTCCTAAAGAGATTAATAAAGCCCTGTTTGGATTTAGCTGGTTCAAGGTCTCTGGATAAACACATAGATCATGGACATAGTCAAGCAAGTTCAAATGGGATGCGTCCAGTGAGATACATACAGAGACCAACCAGGCCCAGTTTGGCATCTATATTAGACTTTCAGGTCGCAATGGATTTGAACCCTCTATTACTTGGAGAAGATTGGCCAACCAAACTTGAAAAGGTTTGCTTGCATGCATCATAAAACAGAACTGACTGACTAGTACATGTTTCGGCTCAAGCCATAAGTTTTGATAATATTGATCTGACCTTGTTGCTTTGATAAGTGAGCACTGGCAGACAGTAGAAAAGTAGAAGTAATGGAAAATTAGATCAAGGCGTTTAGATTGTATAGGTTCAGAGCTGATTATAACAGATACCTTGACATTGGGAGGTATAGACACATGGGGACTTGAATGTAGCTGTAACAAATAGGTCAGTGGCACTCCTCAACATATATCTATTGTTTTTATTGATTTTATCTTTCTTAATAGAGCTTATCTTCAAAGTTTCCAGGGCTGCAATTGTTGAGTTTCTTGTTACATGTGATTCTAGATCATTATTTGATACGATAACAGTATACTTGTTCCATGTTTGAATGCGGTGTGTGTATGTCTACGTGTGCTTGTGTGGTGTGTGGTTGCTAACAGTATTCATCGACTTGAAGATGATATTCATTGAAAGCTTTTGGACCTTGATCTGCACGTGGCAATAAAATCACTTTAGCGTTTTAGTATTACTATGTGAAAATCCTTCAAATCAATTATTTGCACTTCTTGTGAATTAAGTTAGGACTTCTGTCAAGCAGAAACTAAAGTTTAAGGTGGAAGGCATGTATTTAACTTCTTATGCGTGTTTAGTACCTGTAGAATATACTTCTGTTATTAATATTACAATTCATCATTTAAAAGCCCTGCCTTCCCTTCTAGAACATTTGACTGGGATGAAAAGGGAAAACTCAAGTCCCCGAAATAAATAAATAAATGAAGTGAATCCCCAAAACAGTTACCACCACCAAACACAGATATTTGAAACAAGAAAATGAGGACTAGAATTATCGTTATATGATGTAAACTTTTTGGGGGGTGGGGGGTTGGGGGAGTGGAAGATGGAGTATGCAAACCCAAATGCTAAAGGAAATAGATATGCTTGAGTTGTGATTTAAGGAGTTGAAAAAAGAAAAAAACATTGAGTCGATCTTCTTGTTGTTGAGTGTTGCAGACAAATTTACTGACTGTAATGTGCACCTGAATGCTCATTTTAGAATCGTGGAAGTTTATCTTCAGTTTTGACAAATCTGGGTCCTGTTTCTTTTCATTTGCACTCTCCCCCAACTATTGGCTTCAGCCAACTTCCCTTCTAGGTTATGTATCGATACAAATAGAATATATTGTAAGTTATAACCAAATTGACACTTTTTTTTATCACTCATCATGCAGCTTGTGCATTTAGGGACGAAATTTGAAAGGGGAATGCTAGTCGTGCCCCTACAAAGAGCACGAATACCTCTCCCCTTTCAAAATTTGGGATTCAATAGTTTTAACTTAGGTTTGCTGAGCTAGTGTTTTGCATGGAGAACATTGCTTTCGAAACCAGGTACACCCTGAGCTAGATTGATTGAATCTGTGCTCCCTGGCCCTATGAGTAGTTTAGTTTATAGGCCAGCCATGTTTACCACAAATGTTGCTCAAATCCCCCTCTTAGTGCAAATTTTACTTGCATCATTACATATAGACACAAGGGCATGTTACATACAAATAATGCGAGTGAAGGTCTTGACTGTGGACTCATGTGATAATATATCAAGATGGGGATTCAAAATGATTTGTATAGATCTGTAGAAGATGACTCGTTAATTGTGATGCTTTAGACTTTTCCTTCACTAGCAGCCAGAGGTCAAGAACCTACCCTACAATATTAATCATCTGTTTGGGAAATAAATTTTTGTTGTTGGTATTATTGGGGAAACAATTTTATTTCTACTAATCTGATATTTTTTATATGACAACTCTCCGACCAGATTTAGTTCAATAAACAGCGTATTAGCCGAGTCTAATAGTGTAGGCTTGGAACTAAGCTGGGCATTAAAGTGATGGATTGTTTACCAAACCCAAAACAAAAAACAGCTTGCAAGCATTTCATTGCATATGGGGTCTCACCAAATTAAGATGGAGATTAGCAAACAAGGATTAGTGGGAGAGGGTCTTATCACACCAGATTAAGTTGAGGATTAGCAAACAATGATGCATACACGAAACCATCAAGGAACAGTAGAAAGTCTGGAGGATAATGACAAGCTAAGCATCTTGAAAAATCAAACCTCCTCTCTCAAAAGAAACCAAAAAGAAAAATCAAATCTCCTTCAAATGACTCAGCGTTGGGGTCTACATGACCACAAAAGAAAGACTAATCAAATAATGCACAAGACACAGTCAAAAGTCTTCTCTGTGCAAATTAATTTATAACGAGAATCTGGAAATTATTGCGGCCTTTATGTGAACAAATTGAACGGGCACTTGTCTCACTGATATTGCAGATTGACATCTTGCCATCCTAGCCATTATTACATATACCATCAGCTAAATAAAATAAAATGATTGGAATTTAAAAAAAAAATAAAAACCGAAGCTGAATTTTAGTCAACATTCAGTTTGACCTTCAAATTTTTTTAAAAAAAACCCAAATATTTCCGTCTTAGTTAAGAACACTACAATCGCTACGAATATTTCCGTTATTGCCGGTCTTGACTCCGACCCGGCCCAGCTTGGTCATCGCGGTAATAAAAGCCTGTTGAAAAGCAGCTTTGTCTTTGGCCCAGGTTTTTACCGTGGGCTGAGACCTTGCGTCCGTGAAAAGGACCTGGTCTGAGGTAAAAAGGCCTTGCCCAAGCTCAAGATTCTTGAAATAGACATTGTCAAAGGTTCTGGGCGTGTTTGGGTCCATGTTGATGGCTATGTCGGGGTCCACATTTTTTGGACACATCTGTTGGAGTTGAGTTGCATACGTTTTGTCCAGACTGGGGTCCACTGGGTTCCCTGGGCTGAAGCTGTAAATCCGATTGGAAAACCTGTTGCAATGAGAGAATCCAACGGTGTGCGCCGCTGCAAAAACATGATGCTTGCTTATTAGAAGGATAACAAGTTGAAAGTGAAAAGTTTTGTGAAAAACACAGTTGCTAAAAGCACAAAAAAAATCATTAAAATCTCAATGCATATACCATGTTTCTAGCTTTTTAGTGTGTGATGTGTGCCAATCGAAAGACAATTATTAGGTGGGACACTTGGAATCCTTATTAATTAGTGTCTAAACCCGCACACTTGATAAATTCATTGATTCGGTTATTAGTCACGTCACTCATCTGACCATACATAAACAACGGAAATCTTCTGTATTTTAATCCCTATGGCCTCATACTAGCTCATCCAATGCCGGAGAGCTCTATTGTTTATGTTTGTGGCCGGATGGATGACTTGGTCTAACCGTTGGACCAAAGAATTTCTCCCCGCAGACACAACACCCATCACATTATGATTGGTCAATAGAGACGCGGTCTTACCTGAAAGAGCGACCATGTCAGCCTGGGACAACCCATGGGCAGCAAACATGGAATTGAGCTGGTTCAAATTGAAGGTTGGCTGGGGGAGCTTCCCATCTACATTTTTAGAACTTGAACTTAGCCCGTCCAATCTCCCCAACTCAACAGCATACGAAGGTCCACCAGACTGCATTAAATAATTAACACATTTAATTATCATTAACATTAACTCAACCATCAAATCCCACCCTTAATTGGTACAATAATAATAAGCAGCAGAAGTTAATGTGATCATGAACAAACCAGAACAATGACATCTCTGGTGGCCAAGGCAAGAATATCAGCACAAGAGACTTTGTTTTTGCACTGAGGAACTGCATCAACTGCTGCTTTGGCTTTGATCACTGTATCAAAACCATCTCCGGCTAATGACAGATTATCTGGATGATCCTTCTCTGCTTTGTTGTTTCCAGTGGAAGCAACTAAAACCGAAGCATCACAACCCTAAACCATTTAATTTTTCACAGCACAAAAACAAAGATCAGATCGAAACCCAAGTGAAAAAAACTTGTCAATCTTTGAGTTTCTTATGGCAAATTTAGCAGTTGAGTTACCTGGACAAAGCAATCATGAAAAAAGAGACGGATGGTTGCTGGGACTGTAACAAATGTTTGTTGAAATTTCTGAGTGACGACATTTTTTACAATGTTTTCGACATTGGGACAGACGTTGGCATAGAAGTTTGTTTTTAGCTGCGCCGATGTGGGACAGAGAAAGAGGCACAAACTAAGGCAAAGCGACCAAAAAAATATAGGATTGAGCCTACCCATGTGAGCAAAAATTGAATTTAGCAGGACACAGAGGAAGAGAAGAAGCAGAGGTCTTTATATATTTTGAATGAGAGACTGAGATTGAATGGTGCGGTTGGCTGGAGAAATATATATATATATAAAAAGAACTGGATGATGGCTAGAATACTACTGAAGTACGACCACGTGCTACATCTTATACACGTGTTATAATATAAGTGAAAATTTATTGATATTATTTTCTAAAAGAGGGACAAATAAACTATATCGTCCATCAATATTATAACACGTATACAAGATGTACCACATGACCGTACTATTAAAATATTATATAATTTCTCCTCCTCATGAGTCTATGACCGTATGCCAGTTGGATTAGGCATCTTTCTTTTTGATGTAGCAAAGAAGGTTCATATTAAAGCATGAATCTAGAATGTAGACTACATGTAGTGTTTGAAAGAGACCTTGATTTGGGCCTGTCAAAATGCCAATTTGCTTCCTTGGTCTAGCTATTTATGTCCTGCAAACTTGGTCCAAATTTCTGAGTTTATGCTATAATTTGAATATTAATTAATTAGAGGAAAAATAAAAATAAAAACGTGGTCCATGAAAGAAACACCCAAAATAAAGGAAGAAAGTGGGTTTGGAGGCCGCTAAAATAGACAGACGTAAAAAAGAACGTAGAATGCACGTTAAGGTTTCTGTGGGCTTTGGCTTGCTGGACCAGCCACTTGCCACAGATCTTTCTTATTCTTAGTTGAAAACAAACATGATAGTAGGTTTGTAGTTTGTTACATATGAAAAAGATTGTTCTTTTGTTTACCAGAAAACAAAAGGATTGTTGTTTTTTTTTTGGGTCAAAGTTGTTTTTTAAGGTTAATAAATGATATATTAACAACATAATCTTATCTTTATAATGACATGGGCCAATCACCAAGATGGATCATGCTGAATGTATTTTGCTGACTAGACTAATGAGAAAGTGGACCCAATTTTGAGATGAGTACCAACTAAATTGCTGTATAATAAAACGAACGAAAATAATTGCTCTATTTTATGGAGCTAATATAAGGCATTGATCTCGTCTATATACGCGTGAATAACTGATAATTATTTATTATAGTCGCAAATCTGTACAGAATACGAAACGATGACTTATAATTTATAAATGAAAACCGAGTCAGTGTTTGGCCTAGAAGTATTAAACAACTTTGGAGTAATGTCTCTTCCCATTTTCTAATTGAAGTTTTCTGGATCATGGCCTTGGAAAAAAATGAAGAGAAAAAAGTAGGGTTTTGGACGGTCCAAGAGAATATTATAGTTGTTACTCAAAGACAGGATATGAATAGAAATTTGGGATATCATTGATGCACGTAACTTAATTATTATGTTATATTAATGATAATGTTTCTCATTCAAGGTGTCAATTATTAGTTGCCATGTTGTTGTCCGACCTAGGGCAGGTTTGTCACTCTGCTTTCGACAAAGTCTCCGTTGATTTCCCCAAAATTACTATTTACTTGCACAATTTATAAAAAGTTGAGAAACTAACAAAAATAGTTAATAAAATGAACACAATTTGTGGGAATTTCATGAAACTGAAGGAGAAAAAACAAAATGGAAAAAGTGAGGAAAGGATGATGGGGAAATTCACTCACTTGTACTATGAGTGGGAAATTCACACACCAAAGGTCCTGGTTAATTCAACCTAACACCCTAATTAAATCATCAAATTATACTACTTCTTTTTTTTTTTTTTTTTTTTTTTTTTTTTATTAAAAAAAATAGGGAAAAAGAAATTATGAGTAGAGTACCCAAAAAGAAACCAACATCTTATCTTATATATCTTGTCTGGTTTTAAAACTGCATCTTATATTTATTTGTCTTAAAGTTAAAACCAAGAAATTATGATGAGAGGAATGGCTTGAGTTTGATAGATGGTAGCACTTGGGGCTACTACTAGCAGCCACACCCTACACATGACAACACAGAACGACAAATTGCGCACTTTGCTGAAGTCAAGATGTGGGCCGGTCTTCTATCTTATAATTTAACTATGTCTATTTTGGCTTTTGAGCGTAGTTAGGCCACGTCACAAATTCGAAGATGAGATGGTCCAAAGTGAAAAGTTCATTTATTTCGTTTGGAAAAAAGTTTAGTATTGCCACCCGAATGATTGTTATGTTCTACTTACTCCATTAAATTTTAATTTGATTTTGAGTTCCCATGTTTTCAAATTCGTAAAAGTTATTTTTAAAATAGCTTGTGTGAATTTCATATGAGTGTGAACATTAGAACACTAGAACGTTTCGAAGATTCAAGGAGATTCAAGACTAAATTGAAACTCTAGAAGGCAATATAAAACATGGAAAATAATTCAAGGGGACATATGACATTTTCCCTCTCTTTAAAATCTTTAGGAGAATTTTTTATTACATTGAATGAAATGAATGACATTTTTGTTGTTGTTGAAGAAAATGACATTTTTTTTGTTGTTGAAGAAAATGACATTATAAGAGTTTATAATAGTACACCAATCTTTAAAATGACACCCATTCAATCATGGCCAACTTTAAAAATGACTCATCGCCACACAACAAAAAAAAAAAAAAAAAAAAAAAAAAAAAAAAAAAAAAAAAAATTTTCAACAATCAAATGGGCCCAAATCTCCCGTAGTCTTTCTCATAGATTGAGTTTCTAAATTCGATCTAAAAATAAAAAGGATGAGTCTATAAATGCTTCCTGAAGTATAAAATGGGCTCGCTTTCAAGCTGTTCCCAAGCCTTAGTCTCTCTAACTCCAGAAGGCCAGCCCATTTAAAGACCAATGTGTTTAGGAGTGTGACCTTCCTGTCCATGACCAATTTGCTCAAGAAAAATGAAGGTTAGCAATGTCTACACGAATATGTGACGTCATACTAGCCCGAATAATAAACGAGTCGGGTTAATGTCAAACACAACTAACTCCATTTTAATGGAATTGTAAGTATTTAGGATTGAGTAAACAATTATTTATATATAAAGTATAAGAGGTGTAGTTTGGAAATAAAGAAGACTTAGTGCTAAATTTTCCATTCATTTGACACATGAATCAATCCAAATACGACATGATTACAAACGAACGTGATTACGAATCATGATTCACTAATTTCAAGCACGAAGAGAAAATGACCTGATACGTACACGACTCGTTAACATAAAGTATCACCCATAAGAAAAGGATAGAGCCTTTGTTGGACCTCTAGAATGGGCCTGGACCATTACTGCCAAAGGGGAAGCGGCCCCCACATCAAATCCAAAACTCTCCAATTGAGCAACAAAAACATGACCATAAAAACAGTTGTGGCTAGGTAGAACATTGATAATGACCTATGGTGGGGGTGGAAAATTTAGGGAAGCAGACAGAGCAGGGGTTGGAATTAAATTATTTGTCTACACCTTTACATCATACATCCGTTAAAAAGAAAAATAAAAATAGGTGCTACTACCACTAGAAGCTGAGGCAGTACGATTAATTCCGTTGTGACGTTTTGTGTTATAATTATGTGATATTTCGGGTTTGATAAGGTATTGGTGGGGTTCCTTCCCACTGCGATGCAAGTCAGAGATGTTGAATTATTAGTGTACTATCTTTTATTTTATATGTATGTAGGCTATGAGGATGCTGTTGAAAACTTGAAAAGGAAGTGTGTGTGAAAAATCACGGTGATGACATTTGGACAATTTTTCTCAGCTCATTTTCGTGGAACACACACACACACACACATAGCTAAAAGCCAAGCTTGAGGTTGGAAGATTTTGAAGGCACTGCTTGACGGGTGTGGCCAAAGGTCAGCTTCAAGAAACAACATGTAAAATGCCAACCATCTGGGGCCCTTATTCTTTGCTTGTTGAGATGAAATTCCACCCCCTGCCCTCCCTGTATATTATTGGTTCGTTTCCTATTAGGGTATGTTTACTTAAATCGGGAAATTCTAAAAATTGGAGAATTCACTAATTAGAATTGCTCAACTATACTTCTCTAATTGACCTAATTCACGGTTTTAGAGTGTACGGGATACTAACGTGGATACCACATAATCTTTTATTCGTGTTAACAAATGCATAAAAAGTCGGAAATTGAAATAACTGAAATACCAGTGTATTAGTAAACGCAGGAAAAAGTAAAAATTAAAACAATTCCAATTCTCACCCCTCGTAAGTAAACATGTTATTAATTCAAACTGTTGAAACATTATTAGCTAAGGATTTGATAATGCCACCAGAAGGTGGTTCCGAACCATTGATGACGGTGGGCACAACTCATGTAACTTACAATGACCCATTATAAACAACCGTACATACAGTGAACTTGAAGTTTTGAACATTCATTTTCATAGCGGGGAAGAGATTTACAAGCAACCCCATACCATGCATGTGGTTGTACGGTCCAATCACACCATGCACTGCATCTAGCCATTGTACCCAGCAAGTTAGCAACTCCACAGATGCCTAAAAGTGGAAGGTGTGCTGTGAGCTATGTGGGAGAGAAAACGCCACGTGTACAACCACTAACTCCAAATCACGCATTGCTTTCCAAAACAATAATTTAACATGACCTTGGATCGAAGATTCCACCATAGATCATCATTAGCATTAGATAATTAGTAAATTTATAACCCCGACTGTCCGTGTTTGGTTCCCCGGAAAATGGAAAGGAAAAATTATTACTCTTTAGTTTATTGTTGGCTTGGCACTTTAGTTTTATAATTACGCCCGTGATAATGAACCGAACCAATAATTTGCATTGACAGAAGGTCGTGACCCTAATTAATCTTCTCAACAGATGAGAAAATAATTAAAATCAAAACCATGACATGCCCACGTCTCAAGAAGAATCTTAATTAATTTATCTATTAGTCACCTTTGTGATTAAAATTTGCAAGGAAAAAGTAGACCAAAAATTTATCAACATGTGCTACTTTTTTGTATAATATTAACTTTTAGTTTTTGTCGATACGGTCTAACCCAGTGAAAGTAGGT